TAAAAAAGAACTTAACATCATACTGAAAATACATTCCCCCTCACACAGAACTTCATCATGCTGCTGCCGTCCTCTGAGTAGTAGTCTCATGACCCTTGGTAATAGTAGTAGTATCATGTGGCTTAGAAATATCATACTGTTTAGCGTCATGGGCCTTGTCTTGAACGAACTGACCCATTTCTTTACCTTTTTGTCCAGCGTAGCCAACCGCATCAGCCATTCTCCTCTTTGCATACTCCAGTTGATCAGGCACACTCCCCCTGGTCCTACGAAGGTAGTTCATGACCCACGAGATTGAACTAAGCCCGGTTAGACCAAACATTCCGGAGGTCAAGAAGCCCGTTGTTGCAAGCCCGATGGTTATAGCCGCTGGGACAATGACAGGGCTGAAGAGTAGAAAAAGCGGTATAGAGATCAATAAACCTATCACCGAACCGGCTAGAAGCAGACCGGCTATTGCAAGCAACGAACCGACTAAAGGGACTCCAACCAGAAAAGATATTACCTTCCAAAAATGACAGTTAATTAGTTACCAATCATTATAGTAAAAGCAAGAAAAACAAGTATATATGTATGCATGTAAGTATGTAACCATTTTAACATGAATCTTATAAAGAACATTATTTTAAAAAGCTAGAGAACAAGTTCAGGAATGTTAAATGAATGTAACCACAACCACGGGATAGTTCTAAGTAAATATTAAAACTAAAGTTTAATCAACTAGACTAAGATCAAGCGAAGATATATGCATACAACTATTCGATTGGACCACTAAAGGTGACAGTTTTAAAGAAAACAAATCTAAATAATAGTCGGAAGAACACATCTTTTACCGATCTTATTAAGCATTATAGCGTAAGCACCATAAAACAAATTCAAATCATGTTTCAATTCTCTTTTTTTTAGAGAAAACAATCCTGAAGTATAAAACCTGTTGTCTCATTTCGTCCCACGAATAATCTGATTAACTTGTATCGATGAGATTAGAAAATATTTATCAAAATGAAAATCGTGCATAAAACGTTACTTGGGTGCTAGATGGGCCACTTTCAGGCATCATGCTCTTGTAGCCACCACCACCATAACCAGACTGGCCATAACCACCACCACCATAACCAGATTGGCCGTAGCCTCCAGCACCACCACTGCTTTCAAACTGAATATTCACTCGGCCACCTTCATACGGTGACTGAAATTGTAAGTGCCTATCAGTACGGTCGACGCGATGTGTATCCGCCATTAAGACAATGTTTGAGCAAGTGTCTACTTTGTCTTTGATCTTCTTTTTTGCTTTTCTCAGTTTGTAATAAAATTAAAAGTTTTGGGAAGGTTTCTTTATAGATGGAGTTGGAGAGATGAGAAGAGGACACCTAAGACGGTGAGATGTTGGTGAAGTAGAGGTGTGGCTTTGCATGATTTCCAAGTTTCAACTTCTTTTCTCCCTTTTTTGTAATTTTTTATTTCACGAGATTTAAAAGGTGTTTTCGCTTACTCCGCTGACATAAATTTAAAACATTTACAGAAGAAAGCTCACCCATGCATCTAGTTCGTATTGAAGTTGTCTGAATATTTTTGAAATACCAAGCTTTGCAGTAAAATAAATTAAGATTAGTACATACATGTAGATTTAATAAAACAAATCCAAGTCTTCATTTTTATGCATGCATTTCTTATATAAAAGTTTACAATTCAGAATTTTTAATATTTTAAATTAGTTTATCGCGTTTGTAGATTTTCTTACTCTAACTAAAACTTTTTACTTTTTTTTTGATCAACTCAAAAGAAAAAAACTTTTTACTATAATGAAAATCTCATTGGGTGTTTTTTACGGTTAGTTTCACTCCAGTTTTGTAAATCTCATAAAATGATTTATTTGTTTACTTATAAAGGATTTTGGTTTCAAACCGGTTCATATCTAATTTCGAAGTTTATTAACACGTGTTAGACATGTAAGAGTTTCTCTACTTTTAAACTGATTACATCGACATGTAAATTCTGTTTTTGCTTTTTATATTTTGATTATATGAAATGGTTATTTTTGGGTAAGATTATACGGTAGTTCCACATATTCAATACTTTTGAATTCAGTGAGTCACTTAACCCTTTAAACCCCAATCCGTAATGTTTTTAGGTGGTTGACAAGATTTGATAATGACGTTAAGGTTTTTGAATATTTACAAACTGCAGTTTTTTTTTCTTTCTTTGGAACAACAAACCTCATTACAGTTATTAATATGAAATTTCTATGTATATCTATGTATCTATATTTTTATTATCACTAGAGTGTTTCTCCGGACGTAAACCAGATAATTTACTTAACTTTTGTTGGACGATGAATAATATCCTAAATTTAAAGAATGAAATTAAAAATAAAGAACCAGTCCTATATTTTTCTGAGAATTCTGTTTTGTCTTATTTCGATATTATTTATGTCATTTTAGAAACTACTCCCTTCATTTTTTTATATATGATATTTTAGGATTATACACATATATTTAAAAATATTTAATTATCATCCTTTTTTAATCAAAACATCATTAATTGCTTACCTAATAATAATTCAACCAATAATAAAATATAAACTATTATATCATTAAAATGTAACATTAATTAGTATTAAATGTTAAATACAAAATTAAAAACAGAAAATAATTTCAAACAAAAAAATTCCTATAAAATGTCAATTATAAGAAAATGGAGGGAGTATTATTTATGTTTACCTTTGTTATGGATGCTTTCACAAATATGTATAGTATGAAGTTTCAATTAAAATACAAAATACTATCCTATCCTTACTTTATAGTTATATATAAATATAAATAATTATTTAAATAAATAATTAAAATATATATTGTTTTGAATTATACATTTTTAAATTCGAAATCTTTATAAAACTTCTGATTTTCCAAGTTTTTATATTGACCTATTTTAAAGTTTTGTTTATTTAAAAAATTATAAACTATACACTCCAAAATCTTACCTCTAAAATATAAACCCTAAGTCTTTATTAGTTAACTCTAAAGTTATAAATGTTTATTTACATCTTTAAAACGAAAGGTAAATGTGGTAAAAATAAACATAAAAAATGGTATTAAAAGTGATATTTTAAAAACAATTCTCATTTTTTGGATACTTTAGATATGATACTTTTCCACTAATCATTGTTTTGAAAGTAATATAGTATCTTTTGGGATTAGTTATCAACTATTCAAAAATCGATTGTCAATAATACAAAGAAATAGCAAAGCTCAAAGTAGGGTTAAGTATTTTACCCGATAGAACTTATAGTTGAACCTAACCCAAAAAAACTCAAACAAAAATTGAAACCAAAGTTAAAAAAATACCAGAATGGGTGTTGAATTAGAAGAGATTGGATATTTAAACCTGATGGATATCCGAAGATTACAAAACATATATATACTTGACATTATATTTCTAATTTTTTCTCACATTTTGTTTTAAATATTTATATTAATGCTACACATAGTACATCAGATAACATACTTATAATTACAGACAAAATTATTTGCTATTCACTTTAAATGATGTCAAGTTTCTTGCTTCATGCATAGACAAAAATTGCATCGGAAATTTCTAAATAATAATCAAATTAGTATTTTTTAATATATACATATAATTTCATCTCTAAATCTAAATCATTCAATATATTAAAATAATAATCAGTTTAGCTAAAGATATATTTTTAAATTTAAGAAACTTATGAAATAAAGAATTTAGAATTTCTTCAAATCAAATTTTTTTAACCCGGCCCAAATAACCAAATCCAAACTAAAATTATCCAAACCCAACTTGAACTATAGAAATACTCGAACGGATTTTATACCCATATACTGGAATATTCAAAAATCCGAAACATCTGATCCGAACCCAAACATCCTATCTGGCTAGAAAGGTTTATAAAACTATTTGCTGAAAGTCTTAGTTATAAGAGTTTATATATATTACAAAGGTTTATGAAATCATTTATTATAATTTTATAAACCAATTTAAAATGAATGTTGAACCTGCGTACAGTTATATACATGTACATTTTTAATAAATTATAGATCATATAAAATTCACAGATAAATAATGGTTCTTTTATATTGACTTTATGATGGCGTAACTATTGCTAGCCTGTAGTAAGGGAGATTTTTAAGTAACCATTGAGGAGAACTTTGTGAAATGATTTAGATACACAGAGCAATAATAATCTTTTGATAGCATACATTCATCAGATAATACGAAGTTGTAACATTAAGAAATACCAAATAAGTCACCTGCTTACAAATATGTAATGTAAAGCCATACTTAAATATATAAAAAAAAAAACTTAGCAAAAGCTCAGAATTAAAAATGAAAAGATAAGTTGCACTCCTATGATTACTGCTTGGCGGAGGACTTCTTTTCTCCTTGCTCGAGTCTTGAGTATGTATGTGTCTTGAGCATTCGTCTTCCTTTTTCCATCTCCCTCCCGGGCTTCCATTGAATTAGTTCTGTGAGGCCTCTCTGCATCCTTTCAGTCCTTTACACAGAGGAAATCAACAGATTTTATATTCAACTCAACACCTTTACTTTCTTGGCTGACTTTATGTTGTTCTTCCTCATTCTATCTTGTGAGCCAACTTGAGAACCTACCATCACTTTTCCAGTTTTTATGTAATCTGCTCAACTTCTATCGCTACTCAAATCGTCTCTCAAGTCATTTCTGGAACTTTTATTACTATCTTCTTGACAAAGGCTGCATTCTGACTTCAAGCCATAATTTTCATGTCAGGATACTTCTCCCAACACAGAAACAAAAAAGTTAAGATATTCAAGGCCACTTTCGCACACCAGAAACCACTATTCTTCATTAAAAAGAAATTAAGCAATCCACTTTTTAGTTGATTAATTAACAAAAAGAAACTATACCATCAAAACTATACAATATTGTTACTTATAGGATGAACCTATTAAAGAAGCACAAACGAAGATCTAGAGATTAATTAGCATATTGATCACACGTCATTATTTGAGAGACAAACCTTATCACAGCCTGGGACCAGTTCATGTAGCAGTATCATCCCTTCATTAACCTTCTCCATTCTTGCCTATAATCCGAACATTATATATGCATTAAAATAACATTATTAGAGATTTTTAAAATTTTTACCAAGATACAGTCATATATGCCTTTGAAATTAAATGATATAAGTTTACTTGTAATTCCTTCTGCACTGACATATCCATATATAACTTCTCGAAATCTTTAGCCCTGCTCTTCCTTGCCTCGAGATCTCTATATGATCTATCCATTTTCCTGCTTTTAATAAATAGAATATGAGATGAGTATTGCTTGTCAATCTGATACCTTCATAAAACATCTAATGCATATTCTTCAGAGATGATACTTTTTAATATCTTTCGCAATGTGTATCGTGGAGATATCAGTTTTGCCTTTAGCTTGTAATTCTAGCTCTCTAGCCTCCTCTCCGTACCAAAAGCAAGAGTGTTACATATCATAAGACAACTACAACGCAAACTGTATCTGATTCTCATGTACATCTTTAGGTGCTACAGACAGAGATGTAGTGTTAAGCTGCATCAGAAATGCACAAAAGCTTGCCACGCCACAGCCAATGTCCAAGGCAACACGACATGTTACACCAAATCTAATGCTGGGAATTATCTACAAAAAATTCAATCTAAGATCTTAACACTGAAAGCAGATGAGGTGATAACAAAAAGGCAGAGAGGTTGAATGAAAACCTGAGAGATTTGGTCTAAGTACTGATCAGCTCCATGTATGAACTGAGTTCCACCTCCTGGGAAAACAAACTTGTCTTTCTCTCTTCTTATCCAGTTTTGACCTCATTTATCTTCTACTAAGCGTGTATGAGGCACATTGTTGAACCATATCTAATAGTAGAAACACATCACTCAATAAAGTTAGAGAGTTTACATTGGTAGGAAGTAAAGGGGAAGGTGTTTCATGAAACTATCTCACCTTGTCTCTGCTTTGTGGCCATCGGATTGGTTTCTTGTACCCATCTGGTGGTGGAATCAAGCAGTCAAGGCTTTCTTTAGGACAATGTCTCTCGTAATTTTCTCCTATGTATTTACTATTCAACTTCATCTCTTCGTCGTTGTCTAAGCATGGAATGTGATCTGTCTTCCTCTTGTCACACACACTGAACTTCTCAATGCGAAACAGAACTTTCGAGACTCCGGCTTCTTCTTCCGATGAAGAGTTCCCAGTCTTGATCTCATCGATGGTTTCAGGATCGAACCCTCCGATCTCAAGGAATCTGACATAGGTTCCATTCTCGTCGATGATTCATGTCCACACCATCGTCGGTGGAAGAGGTGGAGGGGAGATCTTGAGATGAGGATGCGGTGGAGGAGATGGTGACACGGCGGTATTGGTCTGAACAACTTCGGGGACATTGGAGGAGGAGGAGGAGATGATGAGAGATGGGTAAGAGAAGGAATCAAAGAAGTGGTTGAAGAGGATGGAGATGAACACCCACAAAGAGAAGAGAGTTTTAGTTTAGACACAGTGATGAGCATTTCCAGTCCAAAAAAAATCTTTTCTTTTGTAATTCGGATCGTAATGGACCTGGTGAGATGTGAAATACGAAGTGACATGAGATTGAAAGAGATGACTTTACTGAGACGTTTTTGGGTTTTGATTTGTAGCAAGCTAAGAGGAAACAGTTTATAAAGATTGACAAAATGAGGGAGGTGAAAGGAAATCATTATGAGGGAAGTGAAGAAAACAATTGATCGCAGAGGAGGATAGGTAACAGAGACTGAAAAAACCCAAACGCAAGAGTTCCGATTTTTTAAAGACTTGACTAAGCAGAGATACATGGAAAAATGGTAAGATCTTAGTGGATGATTATTTAATCTGAGGTGCTAGCTCTCTCCTTTGAGCATTAAGTCCTTTTAATATTGTTAGATTATGGTCGTATCTCAGTTATTCAGTTATTTTACGACTGTTACATATTACTATTCACACTAAAACTTTAAATAATGAAGGTATAAACTGCACGTAATGAATAAGAAATTATGCTAATATAGAAAGAAAAAAAATATATCTTGTCCTTTTAGTTTAAATCATTTTTTCCCTTTTACCCTTTCCATTTATAAATATTAATAAAATAAATAGTTATATGACTCAAAATATTTAAAAACATAAAAAAAATGATGAAATGCCTATAAACACAAACTGATAATTTTTTTTTCAAAAACTTGGTAAATTAAAAAATTTAATTACGTTCTACGGAGAGTAGAATTCATATTCTACGAAAAATCGCATAATATAATTCATATTCCACATTAAACAGTAAAATCTACATCTTTTAGAATCTATATTCTACGTTTATATAGGATTCTACAAAATAACTGAATGTGGGTTCTATGTTTTAAGCCACTTCTACAAATCTCTGAATACATAATCTAAACATAACTCAAACATCTACTAATAGTATAATCTTCTTATAGTGACACGTTAGTAGTTCTACTCTCTGTATAAGGTACCTTTTACGGATAAGGAAAAATTTGGGAAATTATTTGGAAAAATATTATAAAAAGATTTGTTAATAATTTTACTTTCCTTAAACGTGTGAAACCGATTTCTCACATCAAAAAATTCCTTATGTGTCGACTCCATTGTTTCTTCGTCATCCAACCTAGTCTCCATTGTTTTTCTTTTGATTTTCATAAATTTTCTTGTATGATGCATATCTATACCACTTGTGGTGTATGGGAGTTAAGTGCTACAAAGGGATAGGTGTTTATGGGAAAATACCAAATTACTTGCACATACTGAGAGAGGCTAATCTAGGTACATGATATCACCCAAATTACTATAGGAGTGAGTTACTCTCATCAAAAGAGGTTCACTTGTAGTACTTAGGGATCGAATCCATGGAGACTCTAGGATTACACAACAGATTATTTAGTTTTCGAAGTAAAGCTAAATAGCAAGTTTTAAACAATAACTTAAAAAGGTTACCAAGCAATTGCTTGATTGATTGATTTGTTTGTTAAGAGAAAAGAAGGTATTTAAACTTAGGTATTTTCTCAGGTATGACAAGCATGCAAGTTATAAAGGGTTTTTATTATTCATAATTATGGATTCAAAATCTTAAGGATTTGAAGTATTAACACTTACTGGATCTTGGGTCAAGAACTATCGTTCGATGACCTTGAACAAATATCGATCGATGTTTCGATAGAAATATTGATCGATGTTGTTATGCTATATCGGTCGATGCGACAGTTATCTCATCGATCGATATTGCATCCAGCGAGTACTATTGACAGGTTTGAAAGGGGTTCTCTAGTCTTCAATAAACAACTTAGACTCTAGGTAATTGCTAAGTTCTCACTTATCCAAGTTATTCTTAAAATCAGAGGTAAGGGTGATCAATCCTTAGCATTAGTATTCATGATGACTAGATTTAGAACTATATTTTAAACACCCTAATGATGACTACTTCAATGCTTGAGTCAACCCTAATGAAAAACCTAAATCTAACAAGAGAGACTACTCAAACATATTTATGAGGGACAAAGTCATAATGGTTTGAATAATGCTTTAAGATAATTAAAATAAGAGAAACAATAGAGTTATCTCTGGGACCTCTTTTCTGGTAGGGTGGTGGTTTTTTGAGTTCCACATCCTTTAGCTCTCCAGCTACGAATTTAGCTGCCAACTGTCGTTGGAGGTCCCAACATTCCTCAGTTGAGTGTCCTTTTCGATCGTGATAAGAGCAGTGTTTGTTCTCATCATAGCCCTTCGACCAGGGGGTTTTGCTTGTCGCAGCAACAGGTTTTTCCTGTTGGACTTCCTCGACTGCATAAGAATGTTCTCCCTGGGTCTGATTATTTCGGAACTCCCCTTTTTAGAAGATCCTTTTGCTTCCGAGGTTTCACCTTTCGGGTGATTTTGAGATTTCTTATGGATTTTATCTAGTGCATCCGTTTCCTCTTCCAAGGTAATATATCTAGATGTTTTTGAAGAGCATCATCGATAGTTGGGGGAGGATTGAGCGTTAGCTCGGACCAGAATTCCGATTTGTACCACAGGCCTCTTTTAAGGGCTTCGATGGCAACTTGGTCGTTGGGATTTGTGGGAACCGAAATTCACACTTGTCAATTTCCGTCAAATAAGGAAACTTATGAAAACCCTAATTTTCCAGAGGAACCGGATCTCTGCGAAAGCCAACGACAAGTAACCAAATAAATGCAGAAAAATACGAAAAACGTATTAAAACGTATTTAAAGAAAAAAGTAGATCTTATTTTGATTTCGCGTAAGAGCGTTGCGATCATTACAAGGGTTTACAAAGGCTTTGGCCGCAGGGCCATCAGCGAGTTATCAACATAAAAACCTTAAACCTAATCGAGTCGCAGCTCGATAACAAAAGAAGGGAAAAGATAAGAAAAAGGATTTGAATGATTTCGGACTGAACCTTATGAAAGGCTGCCTACGTACCCCTTTCGAGGATCAAGTCGAACGTAGTTCAGTTGATAGAGCTGGACCAGAGATCGACCCGCCTAGGAGAGTTCGTTTAGTAATTGAGCGCCAGTCATAGAAACCAAACTTGTCGAGAAAAAGCCTAAGTTTCTACGTACGGAAAATTCTAAGTCTAGAAAAGTTGTAAAAGTCTCAGATGAGAGCTCTGAATTTCGTCCATTTTCTTCTGCCCAATGCCTCTTGCTTATATACTCCCTTCCTAGGCGTTTTAGTCTTTCCATTTCGCCCAGATTCGAGTTTTATCGGGAATCTTCCATTTATCTCGATCTTTCCTTTTTTTTTCCGCGGAAATCTTCTATTTATCCTCAAACTTGACATTTATCTTCAAGTTTGACATTTATTTTCTTTCTGCGAGTAAATCGCCTAAACGTCGTTGTATCTTCGGGCTGGATTTCGTTTTAAAGTCGCGAGTGGATTTTATCGCGTTTTAGGACTTTCCAAGCCATTTTGCGATAAATTCGTTTTACGACTTTAGACGAGATCGTTTCCTGATACGATGCCGTTTTTAGATAAGTTTCTCGAGTTAATCGTAAAGTTTAGCTACGCTCGTTTCTTGGTTAATCATTCCCATTTTTTACGATTTCCTCGACGTTTTTATTAAAAACGCGTTATTATGATTTTAACGAAAGATCTTGAATAAATCGTATAGTTTAGGCAATTTTCGGTGTTTCGTTTAACCGTTACCGTTTTATACGATTTCCTCGAGTTCTTTCCGAAAAAACAAAGTTTTACGGTTTTTATCGTAAAACTCGAATGATAGATCGGATCGAGACGAAACGGGAGGCATTTCGACCGTGGTTCGGAACACGACCGTGTCGAAGAACATAAGCACTGAATCGGGGATGCGGGTTATCGAGGCTCGGGATGGTCGGTTCGACGTACGGCGAACCGAGCCGGACCGGTCTAGCTCGCCGGTCGGCGAACTGTCCGGGACGCTCCTAGTTCGCCCAACGGCGAACTAAGCCGGCTTGGCTTAGTTCGCCGTTGGGCGAACTAAGCCGGTGGCTTGGCTTAGTTCGCCGTTGGGCGAACTAGCCGGGACGAAGCTAGTTCGCGTTTTACGGCGGATTCGGTTTTGCGCGGTTTTGGAAAACGATTCTTCGAGTTTTATAAAACGATTCTTCGAGTTTTATAAATCGATTCTCGAGTTTTAGAAAAAGATTCTTCAAGTTTTATAAAACGATTCTTCGATTTTTATAAAAACGATCCTCGAGTTTTATAAATTGATTCTTCTAGTTTTATAAAACGATTTCTCGAGTTTTATAAAATGATTCTTCAAGTTTTATAAAACGATTTCTCGAGTTTTATAAAATGATTCTTCAAGTTTTATAAAACGATTCTCGAGTCTTATAAAACGATTCTCGAGTTTTATAGAACGATTCTTCGAGTTTTATAAAACGATTCTTTGAGTTTTATAAAACAATTCTCGAGTTTTATAAAATGATTCTTCGAGTTTTATAAAACGATTCTTCGAGTTTTATAAAACGATTCTTCGAGTTTTATAAAACTATTCTCGAGTTTTATAAAACGATTCTTCGAGTTTTATAAAATGATTCTCGAGTTTTATAAAACGATTCTTCGAGTTTTATAAAACGATTCTTCGAGTTTTATAAAACGATTCTCGAGTTTTATAAAACGATTCTTTGAGTTTTATGAAACGATTCTTCGAGTTTTATAAAATGATTCTCGAGTTTTATAAAACGATTCTCGAGTTTTATAAAACGATTCTCGAGTTTAATAAAACGATTCTTCGAGTTTTATAAAACGATTCTTCGAGTTTTATAAAACGATTCTTCGAGTTTTATAAAACGATTCTCGAGTTTTATAAAACGATTCTTCGAGTTTCAGAAAACGATTCTTCGAGTTTTATAAAACGATTTCTTTTATATTTTTTGCGGAGACTTTTTGCCATTGATTCCGTCGTGACCGATTTTGACACCAACAGTTAGCCTCCCAGCTTGCTAGAATCTTGAGCCTTTAGCATAAGATTCTTAAAGTGGTTAGCCAGTTTTAGTTAAGTTAGG